TTTTGGCATGGATTTCAAAGATATGGGTAGATACAATGTTTTTTGAGTCATCATCAGAAATGTAGAGCAAATATTGTTGATGTAGTTTATGTTGATGTTAAAAGTTCTATCGAACTTCATGGTGTAGCGTCGATAGACCAGAATATATTGCTGGATATATATAGATATTGCATTGCTGGACAGAGAGGGAAACGGTGTTGAACTATAAACTTATACATACCTGACGTAGATGATGACATCAGGGACGATCCACTTGTTGCAACTATAGAATAAAATAACGGATGAGTATCATTTACACAAATTCATATCAAGTAGTTGACTGAGGCGGAATGATAAAAGCCTTGAAGTTATTGCAAGAATACACTTACGAATCGTGATAGTTGTAGTGTTTGCCGTTGGTCCAGATGTAGTCGTTGTTGCTAGAAATAAAACTCGATTTTTTGTGGTACACATGTGATAAAGCGTATAACATACTTGTTGAAGCTGTTGTTGTTGGAACTAAATTACAAAATAAAATTACAGCAATAAATATTCTGTTCACGCTACTATGTCATTCAGGGACTAATTTATTCTGGAGAAGTTAACAGAATCCCAGTGTTGATTTATAGTCATCAACAAAAGAGAAAGGGTTATAAGTGGTTCTTCCAAACTATATTTTCTTCAAATACTTACCGCAGGATGAAGCATATTTCATTATTCGATTATTTGTTGTGTCAACAACGTAGTAATTTCCTAGCAAATCAAATTTCCCCCCATTTGGTGCATTCAACTGACTTAGTCCAGAGCCAGAGCCTTGTTGCAAAATGGTCGTGCCTGATACGGCATTCGGTGCCCAACGCTGAATTCTGTTGTTACTGGAATCAACTATGTACATATTTCCAAGAGTGTCAAACTGTACCGATTTTGGAAAACACAGTTGACTTGATCCTATACCGCAAGTACCCGTTTGACCAGCGACCGTTGTTCCCGTTAGACTTCCTGCTGGATTCTTCCTATATGACGTAGACAACCAAAAGAATTTATTCCCTATCTGAACATTTAAATTGAATTAAGAACAAGTTTAGAAAAAAGAAATACATAATAATCCAACCATCCTAGGTGATACGCGCTGCACTCTGTGATTTGATTGATCGGCAATATATATGTTACCCGTTGACGTCTGAATAGTTACGCCCACAGGATACTGTAATTGTGTTGCCGAACTTCCAGCTCCGGCTCCGCCTGCCACGACTACCCCACTAGAGGCACCTGAAGCCCATTTAGTTACTCGGTGATTGCCAAGTTCAGATACGTAAACAGAGTCATTGGTGTCAACATAGATAGAATAAGTGGTTCCAAGTTGAGTTAAAGCTGGTCCTTGTCCGTTTCCTACAAAAATAAAACGAAAATAATTATAACAGTCGAAGCTAATATTATGAACATACCACCAGCAACCGTCGTACCAACGACACTGTTTGATGCCCAACGTTGAACTCTATAATTGTTCAGATCAGCCACATATAAATTATCATTTATATCCACAAATACACTTGTTGGACTATTAAACTGATTGAAACCGTTGCCACTCTGACTAGTGACGCCTGCTATTGTACTTCCGTTTGTCTGTCCAGATTGCCATTGTTGAACACGCTGATTATTGGAATCTGCGACATAGATGTTTTGATTACTATCAATGAAAACGTCAAACGGCCCGGATAATTGTGTTGATCCAGTACCGGAACCACCGGTGTTAATCACTGATCCACTTGTGGCCCATGAACCATTTGTACAAATCAAAGGTACTATTTGTGCTACAAAAGGTACGTATCTTAAGAAGCTATAGAAACCGCACTGAGGATCATGCCAAACAATTACATGCACTTCACTACATGCATATATTCAGTTTTCCAAACAAATTGACATTAGCTCACTAGAACGTATGATTTTTCCAATGCATAATTTTTCTTCATCACCGTATTGATAAGAAAGTCAGAAATCCAGCTAAAAGCGTCCTTAACTCTTCAAACTAAGTAAGATCCTTGTTTGTCTCCAGAAACACCTACGTAGGGTGATATGACACTACACAACTAATATGACAAGTCCGCACATTCCACCAACATATACCTAAGGTCTGTCTCCACTCAACTGCAACTCGTGGAAGTATGAGTTTCACAAGACATCATTCCAACCCTGAATGATAAAATAACAAAAGCAACTAAAAAACTCACAAAACCACTTGTCACAGACCAAAACTCATTAAGGCATTCACTTAATAGAATAATTCCCCAAACATGCATGAATGATAAAGAAATCACCACAAGAACATGCTTCGCAGTCTCAACCCACAGGTACGAGTTCATACAGACTATGAAAACCTTTTAAGGTTTAACGTTAACATGGCGGCTCAGCTTCGGTCTCTGCAAAAACTGGCGACATACATTAGCAAACGGATTTGTTTTACACGTCGATAAGTCCTAATACAAAGATTACGATTGCCTTTATTATCTGTACGAAGAACATGCTCAAATAAACCATCAAAACTAAACGACAATTCGTCACAAAATGTACGTACTGTATGAAATCTTCCTCACAAAACATTTCAAACCACTCAATGAAAGCAGAGAAAACAAACGCTTACTTCATTCCACTAGTAAGGCGTTTACATTTTCACTGCATCATCCATCACATCCGACTTTCTACACAAAAAACAACACTGACTTTATCCAAAAAAATGTTGTTTTTCACTAGCCATACTAATACAAATCAACTTTCGCACCGATATTCAAACATTTAGTACTCTCACTACATGAAAAACTGTGAACTGATACATACCCAGTGGAGCTTGTGTTGTCGTTGTCGTCGTTGTAGTGGGCCCTGCACATGAAAAC